CCGGGTTGCCACCAGCATACAGCTTTCAGCAGCTGCTAGTTCTCTCTGGGGTCTTCCCTTGGGAGCTCTTCACAGATGCTTTGATAATGGGACATCTGTTGATAGGGGCTTCCAGCAGCTGCCCCCCTGGAGTCCTCATGTGTCTCACCTCCTTTGGGCTCCACCCTGGAGATGCAAGGTCCTGAGGGTCAGGCTACATGAGATGAGCTGCTTACCCAGCGCAATAGCAGGACTGTGGCTTAGGGGAGAGCCAAATTATGGCTAAGAAGAGAGGCAAAATGTCTCAACCAGAAGCAGGGCCGAGCATCAGGCCAAAGGGTGGGAAATGACTCCAAGCAAAAAAATTGCAAGATCAGGAGACCCAAACTGTGGGAGCAGTGGAGGAAGCTGGAGGGAAGGTGGGTCAGGACAGGTATCCAGTAATTCTACCCACATGGCACCGTGTGGAGAGGTAGGGAGCCGTTTGGCTGATTGGTCAGTTTGTCTGTTATCTGTTTGGTTTTTGTGTGGAATGGGACCCACAGAAAGAGATGGGCCTGGGGAGGGAATGGCCCTGAGTAGTCCTGGTATACATGGCCTTTAACAGTTTGACTGCAACAGGTCAGCTGACCATTACTCTTCCCGCCCCGTTGTGGGGGGCCATCCACAGCTGCATCGGTGTTTCTCCACAGATGCCTTCTGGGTGAAAGCCAGCTCCGTTGGGGAATGTATGCATCCTTGAACTGCATTAAGGACAGCAAACATGTAGAATAACAGAGCATCTCACTTAGCTCCATTTGCTAAGACCTTGTGCAGACCCACTGACTATCCTTATTCCAAATGAACGCTTAAACTCTATAAAGAAATCCATCAGATGGGTTACAGTAAACACTCTTTTACACCTTACTGTTGTATTCAAAACTGGAAAAATAGGAAATGTGGCCAATTCCAAAATTTGGGGACTTACGAAGGCAGTCTCAGAATTAGGCTTGGCATGCCAGATCTATAAGTTAATGATACTTATATTTGAATGATCCTTTCAAAGAGTTAACGTTTGAAGTACCATCCAGGGAAGGAAGCAAGAGATGTTCTTGTACTTTTCTAATGGTTAGTAGGTGGATTTGCAATAGAGACAGACACACAGGGATCGTTCACCTGGGCTCTGGAATCAAGACACCTTGAGTTTAAAACCCACTTACAAACTGCATAGCCTTGAACACATTACTTAACATAGAGCCACTTCTCTGTGACCCAGATTACTCACTTGTCAAGGGGAAAATATAATGCCTACTTCAAAGGGTTATTGTGGGGATTCAATGAGATAATGTATATAAAGCACAGAGCGCAAGGTCTGGCTCCTTGAAAGTGTTCCAAAAGTTTTACTGTCATTATCATCATTATGATTACTATTATCACCATCATCATTATTACCCTCCCCAATTCTTCAATTACTTTCCCAAGCTTCTGCTAATCTTTTACTTGGACTCTGTCTCTTAGGCCTGAGTCACTAGAGAATTCGTTATATGAAAGTGTTTGCCAAAGAATGTGCTTAGGAAGTTCACAGCTGGTCTCTTTTGTTCTAATATCTAAGGTTAGGGTTAACCCTCACTGACTTCTTGTTTTATTAATCATGCCTTGACATGGACTGTTTATAAAGTTATGTTTCAAAAATAAGTAGCTTATGTGAACCTGTCTATATTTTCAGCCTAAATCAACTCTCAGTTAATTTGCTATTCATTGAGAGAAGCAGTACTGCCTTGATTTGTCCCAAACCTGTCTTCTCTGAAGGAAGCTCCTTAGTTCTAATTTTTGAACAAAAGAGCTTCGCAGGGTTTTTTTTGGTTTTAAGTAAATGTCTAATAAAACATCAGCGACCATCTTTTCGATCATTCTCAATCTGTCAACCTAATACTAATATTTACTAGTTTATATAATTTTACCAACCTTTGGTAATCACTTCCTACAGATTGTGAGGTTTTATTTTGGGGATAATCGTTAAGTGGTTGTTTTCATGAGTTTAAAAAATAGTTTTGGCCTTTATTGACAATAGATATTCCTTAAGGTGGTGGTCTCCATCTAGTGGAGAAATTTTTATATTACAGCCTACATAGAAAAATAAAGCCCCTACCCTATCTCGTATCAAGCATTTTATTGACCTATTAATAAATTTTTGGTTTTAATAAGTAGCATTATTGTAAAGACTATTAAATATTTTAAGATACTTAGCACTATTTTTTTCTAAAACTTAGAGTGAAAAGTTTCTTTAAGAAGTTGCTTAACTTAATTGGAAAAATTGTAATAATAAAAAAAGAATTTACTGATTTGGGGGATTGTATTGGTATTACTCAGTTGAACTGTCACATTCCTGTATCTCTTTTATTTCTGCTTATGCATAGCAGTGAGTATTTTTATTAAAACAGTAAGAGCATCTTGATATTGAAGGGAAATAGACCTAAACGTTTTCTTATGTGTTCACATTAGGTCTTTCTCATACTGAAGAGCTGCAATGACTGTGTCCCCAGAGCAAAAATCTCCCCTTTTTCTCTTCCCATTCAAAGGACTTTAGTGTCTTTCAGCTGCATACAAAAGCCCTCTGAAAATACTACTATTATATGAAAACTTCTCAGAAGTCTGGATTAAACCCAGCTTGGATTAATCTTATCACCTTTATTTTTGTATCTTAGTGTGCTCATAATAGGTACTTAACAAGTGCTCATTTATTTTATTTTAGTTATTTTTTTAAAGATTTTATTTATTTATTTGACAGAGAGAGACACAGTGAGAGAGGGAACGCAAGCAGGGGGAGTGGGAGAGGGAGAAGCAGGCCCCCCGCGGAGCAGGGAGCCCAATGCGGGGCTCGATCCCAGGACCCTGGGATCATGACCTGAGCCAAAAGCAGACGCCCAACGACTGAGCCACCCAGACGCCCCAACAAGTGCTCATTTAATTAAGCATATCCAAGAAGAGCTTGTCTGAGGTCCTGTATAAGTCTCTCCTGATTGGAGATCCTTTCCCCCTCTGGCCACCCTCAGGATTGCCTAAAGTCCCACATGCATGAAGTGCCTTGTTCAGGTGAAACAGATGTCCCCTGCTTGCACGTCACAGTTGCTAACATACATTTATGGTTTACACAATTATTCATTAGAGCTGGAAGAGTTTCAGGAACAGTAGATGATTAAATCTAGTTAGCTCAGTAACTTTGGTCAATTAACTTTTCTAGGAACTGGTATCCATGTCTATAAAATGACTCTGTTCAACTCGAGAACTTCTCATTGTCTTTCGTGACCAAATAAATACATCTATAAAGTGATGTAATTCTTTAAAAAATTTAAATTGGAAAACTTATATATGAATGGCCAAATTAGATTATGGGTTTTTCTTTCTTTTTTTTTTTTTTTTTACTAGATGGATTAATTTGGAGTCAGTGTTTCTTATTTAGTTATAGCTTCATAGGTGATTCATGAAACATCAAACCCTTCACTTATCTTCCACATTGGCCTCCAATCTTGGGATCATAACACTATTTATTAATAACTCCAATGGAGAAAGTAAAAGAATGTTTTTAAATTAGCTAGTTAATAGTTTGGGTAAATGTAATAGGAAAAACATTGATAACAACTAAACTTGAATTCATTTATTTATTCGTTCAACAGTTTTTTAAACCACGTACTTACTGGGCTATCTGAGCTATTACAGTCCTCTCATAAGAGCATGTGAGACTTGACGTTAATACTGGTTGATATCTGACTAGAAAAGCTCTTTGTAGAAAGTTTATCTCAATTGTAAGGACCGTGACGTTAAGAACTGTGCATTTGTGGTTCTGTCTTTTCCCAACTCTAATTGCCCAGCACAGTACCTTCTATTTATTCAGTCATCTATCCAAACTGCTTAGTAACGGTTTCTGAGCTGCCATGTGAAGTGCTAAGAACACTCAGAGTCTCTATTCTCAGAGAACTAACAGTCTAGGAATGGAGACCAAGTGGTAAGCATTTTCAGTTCGTTGTAAATACTACCAATAGGGAGCAGGGAGATGTCCTGGGAGCACAGAGAAAGGCATTTCATAAAGGTGTGGGACATCAGGGCAGCTTTTCAGGGAAAGGATAAGTCTTCAAGGATGAGTAACAATGAGGCGGGGGATAAGAGGGTTGAGTAGTCAGGGGAGCAGGAGATTAGGTAATGATGGCCTGAGTGAGACAAGGAGGGGGTAGTTCAGTGAGTGGAGCAAAAAGTGGCTGACGGAAGAAGGTTGCATGTTGAGGTTGGGAAAATGGTTAATTGCAACTGAACATGGATAGTTCAGACTCTGTCAGTCTAGCCAAGAAATTCGGACTTTATCCTGAGGACAGTAGTGAACTACTGAAAGGTTTTGAACTGACAAAGATCATGGTCAGGTGTACACTTTAGGAAGACTCTCCACAGGGTTACAGAGTGGAAAATGGATTCAAGAGACTAACTTAAAGGGTCTTATAATAATGTAGGTGAGAGTTGATGAAATCCTGAACTTAATATATTAGATTTGGGGATGGAGGGAAATGGATATAGCAGAAATTCGTGTTTGGATGGGTGTAGGCAGGAGGAAGAGAGAGCCCAGGTTTGGGGAAGCGATGATGTTAGGCATATAATGGGAACTTGTTGAATTGAACCCAGATCATTACAGGATTACTATGTATTTGTTCTTTTCCTAAAGAATTTTAGTAGAACTATTCTTAGTAGAATGGTTCCTTAGTAGAATGTACTTAGTAGAACTATTCTTTGCAGAATGATTCCTTTTTAACTCAAGTTTAGAGAGACACATGTCTTGTACCTAGTTGATTAACAAAAGTACCCAAAACTTAAGGAAGACAAGAATATGAAGCTATGTGTCCTTTTTTACTTTTGTGTGTTTTAATATTATCATTTCTTAATAGTGGGAATCAGCTGTACATGTTCCCACTTTGACTTCCTAAACCGAAATCTCCCTTTACTAAAATATCAACATGTAGGCATTCATAACAATGTTATTCCTTCTCCTTCTTTTACAGTTTTGATGTGGACAATGGCACATCTGCGGGACGGAGTCCCTTGGATCCCATGACCAGCCCAGGATCTGGGCTAATTCTCCAAGCAAACTTTGTCCACAGTCAACGTCGAGAGTCCTTTCTGTATCGATCCGATAGCGATTATGACCTGTCTCCAAAGTCTATGTCCCGGAACTCCTCCATTGCCAGTGATATGTAAGTACAATGATGAGAAAAGGGAAGAGGGAGCTTCTCTAGAAAATCAGGTACATTTATCTGGTCGGTTGGTGACATAAGAAAACCAATGACATTTGTTCAACTGCATCATTCTCTATGTTCGAAAGAATAGTGAGTAAAATTATACAAGCGATAAATGGTGGATTTAACTTGAGTACCCTGTCACTCTTGAAAAGAAACATTTATTTTCTCAGAGAATACAGTCTGAAAAAAGTGAAAATTAAATATTTAATGGTAACATTTATACTTAAAATATTAGCTTATATTCATGTAGGACCTGAGTTTTAGCTACCTAGCCACATGAACATTTCCTAATATTTCAAAATGCTTTAAACTCAGTTTGAAAACCTTGTGGTAATAGAATGAATAGCAGTTTGAATATATCTCAGTTGAGGTACTCTATAGATGTTTGTACTGGTTTGCCATATCATTTGAGAGATCTTGGGAGGGTTTTGCTAAAATTAAACCATTTTTGGAATATTAATCACTAGAGGCAAGCACTGAAAACATTAGACAGATTTGAATATCATTTAAGACATGGCACAGCTTGGAAAATAATTAAAACTGATAAGCAGGTTTGCAGATCATATACCGTCGTTAACTCGTTTTCTCAGAACACTCCGTTTTTGTGTTTACTGTTGTGTTCATTAGTATTCTAATTTCTGGAAGCTCCTAATTAGGACCTTATTCTCACTCAATACTTGTGCTATCATTTGTAACTGCCCCTGTATAGAGTCGGTCTCTACTTTCCTCCTCTGCATCTGGACGTTTGTCCAATAACACTCACCATCTTTCATGACACCATCTCAAAAACTCAGTACAAGTTGCAATTCATCATATAGGAATTAGGTGGTATGGGGTCCCTGAGGGTTAGTGTTATTCATGGTATGCCAACAGATGATCAACGTATGCCCAATAGGTGTAAATGAGGCTCTAGAAATGAAATCATGTTTTACGCATTTCTCACAACCTGTGGTTCTGGTTGCCATTTCATTAATAGCTGTAAGATGATGATACTATATTCTTTCTAGGAATGAACAACGAAACTGCAGTCATTTTGATTCAAATACTGAATTACTAAACTCCTCTTTTGTAGCTGTCTTTGTTTGAAGCACTGCAGGAGATATAAGAAAACTGTAAGACAGAATTCTTGATCTCAGTTAACTAATCATCTCATGGAATGACAGGTCTCAGATCTAGTCATTACTGGGAAAGATGACATGTAAGCCCTAATGTGTGTCCCTGTGAGCTACAGGTGAAGGTGTCTCACCACCTAGCTTTCATTATGCACATATCTAGACCATCTTTCCAAAAATATTTAATCTACTTTTGTTTTTCTCTGCTTTTTTGGCGATGAAAATTTTTCAGTCAGCTCTAGGTCTCCCTATCCTCCTGCCTCTATCCCACAGACCTACATCTGTTCTCTATGGTTCCTTACCATGTTGTATTGCGTTGATATTCTGAAATCTATCTTCCATTCCTACTGACCTCAGAAAATCCATTAATTTAAGTAATATTTCTCAGTTACCCATAGGGTGGAAGGAATGGTGCCAGTCGTTAGAGGAAATATAAGGTGCATCTCATCTCCTGGCCTTATCACTGTGTGTCCTCTCTTCCTTCCTGCTCACAAACCTCCTCTTCACCAGCATATTTTACCACCTTGCAACATATTTCCCCAAAATATAGCCCCTGACCTCTGGTCTGTGCTTTGAGAAACTCTTTTGTGTATGGGTTCAACTATCAGCTTTCATCAAATGACATACTGTTCAGTATCTCTTGTCCTGCAACCTCAGTTGAGCTCCAGATATGTAACACTTAAATGCTTTCTGGGAATTTATAGTTTCTATTCAACTATTATGCTCGTTATTAGTATATGTTCATCATTAGTTCATTGTATAATGTGGACAATGGTGTCCATTTTTCTTCACCCCAAAACAACTTGCTTTTCCCAATGGCCCAGTCTCTATGTTATTTTTTATTTATTTATTTATTTATTTATTTATTTTGCGAGAGAGAGCACGAGAGGGAGGAGGGTCAGAGGGAGAAGCAGACTCCCTTTTATTTATTTATTTATTTTGCGAGAGAGAGCACGAGAGGGAGGAGGGTCAGAGGGAGAAGCAGACTCCCCGCTGAGCAGGGAGCCCGATGTGGGACTCGATCCCGGGACTCCAGGATCATGACCTGAGCCGAAGGCAGTCGCTTAACCAACTGAGCCACCCAGGCGCCCTCTATGTTATTTTTGTCCCATATTCTCACGTTTGAAATTCAAGACATTCATTTACTCATTCACACATAATGAAAACACTTATTGAGCAAATATGGTATATTCAAAGCTGCCAATCTGCAGATAGTGGGAGGGCTGACGTTTTAGATCATTATAATAAAAAATGGTGAACACCATCCTTGAGGCATTTACAAAACTATGGGAGCAGAGAGAGGAGAAGGACAGTTTGCCAGTCAGGGAAAGGCAGCTAAGGGGGGTAACATTTGCATAAGGAGAGGCCTAGAAAATCATGGCTCACTTAAACAGCAACAGTCTCGTTGATGTCAATAGTGAAATGTGGCAGGAGAGAAAGAAGATTTGAATCCAGTCTATGGGACCTGAGAGTCACAGAGGTTTTTAGCTGGGATTTGACATGCTCATATTCTTATTTTTATTGCTTCTGATTACTCTATTGTTAAATGATTGTAGAGAGTGAAGTGACTATGGGCAAGTAGATCATGTTAAAATTTGTAGAAACAAAGTTCGCTAAACATAATGCAAGCCCAGGTGAAGGAAGTGGAGGTTGGATGATGAAGTTGGTCTAGTGGCAGGAGACTTACAAAATGGTGTGTGTGTGTGTGTGTGTGTGTGTGTGTGTGTGTGTGTGTTGGGGGACAGCCAGTGGGTAGGAAAATCAAAAAGGATGCTGAAGTTTTCACCCTGAACAAGTAAGTGAGTGATGATATTGACTTGAGGAACACAGGTTAGAGGGTGGACAACATGATGGCAGATAATGGATAATGAATTTGGGTTTTACATGATAGAGGATAGAACTCTATGGGAAATGAGACTACAGTTAAAGGATAAGAGCAGAGAGCAGAAACAACTGTCCAGAGGATGAGGAGAAATTAGAAGAACCAGTTACCTTCTATAATTGCTAGGTTTGGGTTGATACCTGAGTGAAGATAATAGAACTAGAAGCCCACTGGGTTGAGGAGTGAATTCAAAGCAGAGATATCAGCAGATGCAAGCATCTCTTTCAAAGTTGACAAGTTAAAAGGGAAAAGAGGACTAAAGCTGCTTCAGGGAGAATTAGGTTCAAGGAAAAATTTCTTTGAATTCAGGACACTTGAGCTGAGGCAAGGAGGGGACGTTAAATATGGAGCTGTAGCTGCTGACAAAAATAACCATCATGAGCTCAAGTAAGGGATTAACTTTGGAAAAGTCATAGACAAGTGATGTCACCTATTTCCTAAAATTGATTTTTGGATACCAGTGTATAGATTATTTCTCTTAGACCCTCTACTCTAGTAAAGATTAAATATTCCATGCATTTTATGAAAAGTCTATATATTTAAATGGTGCTTTTCTTTCCAAAGCAAACTTACAAGGATGACCTCATTTTTCCCTGTACCTATTCAAGAGTTTCTTTATTTGACTGGACTCATGTAAGAATGACAAATTGAATCAGGCCTTGATGCAACTCTATAAACTTTTGAAAAATAGTGTCTTGACATGTTCAGCTTTCTCATTCCCCCTGGATATTACACTGGAGCAATAAGATTATAGGCTCTTGGAAAGCATACTTTCTACTAGGAAGATCAAGTTTCTCTGAGAAGCAAGGTGAATAGGATAAATAATTACCATTTTAGTCTTTAATCTGATAGTACACATATCTTCTATACATAAAGGATTATGCCTTCTCTTCATTTGACTCCAAACGTGGCCACATGTAAACCTCTATTTTCTTATCTCACCTAGTTTCTGAGAATGCTGGGAAGATTATTCAGTGTCTGTAATTCAACTGTCCTTTACGGGGAATAACATCATCATATGTCTTAATCACTTTCGATGATTTTATATTTATTGTTCCAGTTAACATTTCCATTGAGAAAACCCCCTTAGAAACCTCAAATACAAACAGTACCAGTGAAGGTCTGTGCTTATCTGTGTGAGTGAATTGTCTTGGAGAACTTTTAAATGCTCTTTAACTTGAAATATAATTGTTTAATTTATTGAAAAAGTGAGGTGGAAAATCATTGCTTCCTTAATAGATGGGATGTCATCATCCTATCTTCTATAAATAGATACTAGTTAAATAGTGGAGACGTCAGGAGAAAATAAGACTAATAATGGCCATAATGATAATCATAGCACTCATTGGCTGTATATGTCACCCTTCACTGGGCAAGTATTTTCACAACTGCAATCTGATACTTTGATTACTTTGATACTTTGCATAGTCCTATGGATAGAAACATCATTCTGCCATTTTATAATTAAGAGATCCAAGGTCCTCACAGCTTAAACTTTTTTAAAAGCACGGCAAACATTTGGATCATTTCTAGAACATTATGTTGATAATGCCATTATAAACAAAGTGCTGGGAACTGTTGCAGCAGAAACTGCTAAGAAATAGAAGTCACTGTTGACCAAATTCTTTTGACCAAATGGATTACTTGGCATTATGAAAATTTGGTTTTTAATTATATTTTAAGAGTAAAATTAAATAAAAGCTCAGGTGTGTCAAAGAAACAGTAAAGAAAATATGTGACTGATTTTTCTTGGAAAATATATACAAATCTATAGGATGAGGCTAAACTTCGCATCTAAAAAACTAGCTTATTTAAGGCAAAAGAGAAATTTCCGGCAACTTCTGCTCAGAAGACTGCCACATAGTTTGTTCAATGTGTCCCCCATAGCAAGAATAATAAGAAAGAGGAAAATTTTCAGTATTAGCATAAGCACAGTAGAGAAATAAATACATGAAAAGTGA